TGTAATTGAATATATCGAAAATGATCAAACATTGTGAGGTAGGATGACTCTTTAATGTCCATGAATTGAATGATTTTGTTACCCTGATAGATGTGTCCTATTCTAGAGATGTCTCTTTGTTCGAACTTAGAGAAGTGTTTGGGTGTGAGTCCTGGGCGGATCAGTTTGTTCCTCCAGATTGGGGTCATCGGGGAGAGGAATGATGAGAGGTCATATTTATCTCTCATTTTATCCCATAGGTCTAGTGCGTGGCTGATTGCGGGTGCGGTTGGCGGGGGTAGGGGTCTGTGTGGTCTGGGTGTCCACATGTATAGGGACGGGTGGTCCCATCCAAATATCAGGTGTTCCAAATCCACCCATCTTTTCTTCCCAGGTGGTACATGCCAGTGCTGTATCTGTGCCAGGTGCGCTGCTGTGTGAAAGTGTATAAAGTTCGGTAGGCCTAAGCCTCCGCATTTCTTGGGCACATATAGCGTACTCCTGCGTACCCTTGGTTTGCGTCCATTCCATATAAACGTGTCGATTGCCGATTGTAGGGCTTTGAAATCTGGTTTGTGTATTGGGATCGGGAGGGTTTGGAAGAGGTACAGGATTCTAGGGAGGAGGTTCATCTTAATGGAGATAACGCGTCCCAGTCACGAGATCCCTAGTGGTTTCAATTTGGTCAGGTCCTCACGTACCTTGAGCAATAGAGGGGTGTAGTTCTTGGCATATAAGGATGAGACATCCGCTGGTAGTTGAAGCCCGAGCGGCATAACCTGAATGGGAATGTTTGTCTTATCCTCTCTAAGCTCATGGAGTCTATTTGTATAAGGAGTAGTTCGGATTTAGTTAGGTTGAGCTTGTATCCTGAGATTTCTGAGTATTTTTGTACTACTATCTCAAGAAAGGGGCTTAGTGATTGTTCTGGATTGGTCAGAGTCAGTAGGATATCATCGGCATATGCCGAGACCTTGAATGTTTCCCCCCGTACCGTGATCCCCCCCACCCTGCCAGTGGAACGCACTACCTGGAGCAGGGGTTCCAGGGAGAGGGCGAATAGCAGGGGTGATAAAGGACATCCCTGGCGTGTGCCATTGGTAATGGGGAATTGTGGGGGTGGTATGTTGGGCAGTCGGAGTGCTCCTTGGGGGGCATGGTAGACTGCATGTAAGAATGAGATTAATTCTGGCGGTAGGCCTATGTGTGTTAGGGTTTGATGTAAGAACAGCCATGTTAGGCGATCGAAGGCCTTTTCAGCGTCGAGTGATGACTGCTGTTGGGATTAGTCTATGGTTGGCTAGCCATATAAGGTCTATGGCCCGTCGAGTGTTATCTGCGGCCTGTCTGTGGGGAATAAATCCCACCTTGTACGGGTGTATGAGTGATCCTAGGTGTGGGTTCAGCCTATTTACCAAGACCTTGGTCATGATTTTGAGGTCGACGTTGAGTGGTGGGCGGGTTCTAAGTGATCTTTTCCTGGTTTGGGTAGGAGACAGATTTGTGCGCTAGTCATTTCAGATGGGAGAGTTTCCCCCTCAGTGTTGCGTTCAATACCTTGCAGAGGTGGGGAAGTAGGAGAGGGCTAAATTCTTTATAGTATAAGGCTGAATAGCCGTCAGGCCCCGGGCTCTTGTTGGGTTTGAAGAATCTAAGAGCCAGTTTCAGTTTCATCACCTCCACTGTGACCTCTTGTCCCATTGCGGCCTTAGCATCCTGGGTCATGGAGGGGAGTGTCGCATTCTGTAGGAACTTGTCAATGCGGGTGTGGAGGGACTCTACGTTGTGTTGGGGCTGTCGGGTATGATTGTAAAGGTTGGTGTAGTATTCCTGAAAGGGTGCTGCCTATTCGGGTTGGGCAATCGCTAATATTGCCTTCTTTGGTGCATATAGCTGAAATCCGTTTGGCTTCGATACGTTTCTTGAGGCAGCGGGCCAGCATAGTATCCGCCTTGTTTCCTTTTTCATAAAATGTTTGTTTTAGCCACATCAATGCTTTGGAAGTATCTGTCTGTATGAGACTTTTAAGGAGGTCCCTAAGTGCTGTTAGTTTGGTCAATGTGGTAGGGTGAGGATGTTTTTTGTGTAGGGTTTCTAGACGGCGGAGTTCCATCATCGCATCAGTTATCTGCTATTATGCACATTTTTTCTTATGTGAGGCTAAGCTGATTAGAGTACCCCTAATGACCGCTTTATGTGCGTCCCATAGTGTCGTGGGTGTGGTATCTACGTGTGTATTCAGGTCAAAATAGTCTTTTAATGCCTTGTCTACTTTATCTTTTATGATTTTGTTTCGTGTAGGAGGAGAGGATTCAGCCGCCAGGTCCATTGTTTGCGGATTGTCGGTAGGGTCAGGGTGATCGCTATCTCTGCATGGTCAGACCATGAGATGAAGCCAATGTCTGATTTGGTGATCTGGGGTACCAGGCTTGGGGATACTAGGAAGTGGTCTATACGTGAGTACGATCTGTGTGGGTGTGAATAGAATGTGTAATCTCTAGTTGTTGGTTGTTGTGCCCTCCAGATGTCGATTAGGTTTTGTGATGTCAAGAATTGGTAGAATAGAGTGTCATTTTGGGATGGGCGGGTGCGCGTAGGATTGAGAGGTGTTCTGTCAATGGTGGGAGTGTGGACTGCATTGCAGTCCCCTCCCACTATGAGGCACGCAGTAGAATAGGTGTTAAGGTGTGTTGCCAATTGTTGCCAGAATGATGCGTCTGGTGTTGTGGGTGCGCATATAGAGGAAAAGGCGTAGGCTGTTGTGCCCACCTTCCCTGTATTGTGACGTAGCGTCCCTGTGGGTCCCTATTATAGGTAATGTCTGAGAGGGGGCAGCTGGATTTCAAAATGATTGCGACCCCCTTTGTTTTGGAGTCTGGGGAGAGAGCCATGTAACTTTTTGTATAGTACCTGTTTGTGAGGGGGAAAGCGCGGCGGGTTGTGAAGTGGGTTTCCTGTATAAGGAGGATGTCTATGTTTTGTTTGTGCGCCCATCTTAGTATGCTATGTCTCTTAGTGGGTGAGTTTAGCCCTTTTGCGTTAATGGACACGCAGCGTAACTGCATCGGCATTATGTCGGTGGTGTGCTTCTGTGGTTTAGTAGTGATAGGTGTGGGCGTATGTGGGTTGCGTGCCCGGGTGGTCCCAGGCTGTTGGTCTGCGGGGAGAAGAGGGGGGATGTCAGTATCCTCTTCCGGGGGAGGAGGAGGAAGGAAGGGTTGACAGGTAAGGGCTGTAAGGAAGAGGCAAGATAGGGTGGGCTACTGGACTTATCTAGTGGCCAGTAGGAAATGGGGATGAGCGTCTGGCCGCTCCGTGGGTAGTCTCTTCCCAGAGGTGTTGAGTGTCGTCTGGGGTTGGTGTTCTCTCCATCAGAGTCGCCAACAGGCTTTCTCGATACTGGTATGTATACCCTTGTGGGTAATGGTCAGTCTTTATCTCATGTGTCTCTGTCAGCTATAGTGTCTCTCACCTTGTGTTTTGGTTCGCTTGTAGTGGGTCGTGTCCGTCTGTTCGTGGTTTGGCAGGTTGGGCATCACAGAAGCGTCTGTCTGGTCCGCTATCATTGTCATCCCTTGTGTGTGGTTAGGGGCCACTGTCCGTGGTTTGGTCTGTGTGTAGTCCAGAAGGGTGAGTGCAATACAAGAAACAGAACCATTGAACCAACGAGTAAAAAAACATAACATTAAAAACATGAGCATACCATAACTTGTATTGACTTTATAGTTTCTGAATCCTAGTCATTAGCGGGTCCCTTGGGGGGTTATAGAAGTGGGGAGACTGGTACGCAGGGCTTTTAGGTGGCAGGTTCACAAGTGTCTGCCAATCTCATGTCGTGTGGATCACCATTATATCGAGTTGTTTGTTGGTCTATGCACACATGGGTTCCCACGCATGGGGTCAATGGTATGTCTTATACCTAGTTGCTCATTCGTATGCGTGCATATCTCTTCATGTGCATGGGATCGGAGATATACATTAAATCCAGTTGCTTGTTTGCCTTCTTGCTTATCTAGACACATGCATGGAGTTAGTGATATACATTACATCTGGGTGTTTGATTGTCTACGCCCCTATCTATTCATGTAAGTGGGGTCATTGATATACATTATATTTAGCTGCACATTTGTCTATGTACCTTTCTAGTCTTATGCATTGAGTCCGTGATGTATATTGTATCTATTTGCTCATTTGTCTATGGGCGGTTCGAGTCGCATATATGGGGTCAGTGGTGGACCTTATCTCTAGTTGCGCTTTTGCTTATGTACATACTAATGCAAATGCACAAGGTCATGGAGATGCGCGCCTTCTGGTTGCTTGGTTGTTTATGTTATTTTCTATTCCCATATATGGGGTCAGTGATATATCTTTTCTTTAGGTGCTTGTTCGGCTATGCCCATACCCATTCAAGTGTATAAGGCCAGTGGGGCATAGTATGTCTCATTGCTCGTTTATCTAAGCTCGTACCAAGTTCCATATCTGGGGTCAGTGATGTACGATAATCATTATATGTCAACGTGAACATTGTTATGTTTATTGATATATATATATATATATATATATATATATATATATATATTTTTTTTGGGGGGGGTGTTTGGGAGGGGGGGATTTCAGAGAGGGGTTAGGGAGTAATGTGTGTTGCCATCAGTGGTGTCTGGGAAGGGTATCCCTATACTAGGATTCAGTGCTTCAGATGAAATCTGAGATAAGCTAATATGAGTGGATAGAGTTGCCTAATCGGTATACAACATTAATTCTAATACCTTAAATCAAACATGTTATTTATAACCATAGTGTATTCAGGAGATATATATATATATATATATATATATTATATCTTATCTGTTCCTTGGTGTCAGTCTATTCGGGGAGTTCGCAGCCATCTGGCTTGTTAGTCCATGCACTTGGCTTTATCGGATGTGTGCTTCTCAGGTTGTCCTGGCAGCTAGCTTGGTATAGATGAGAGTCGTGATGGGAGTAGCAGTCTCTCATATGATTCTGCGTTTAGCTGAATGTGTTCAGTGTTCAGCTGGAGGACGAGGTCCGCTGGAATCCAAGGCCCTGGTCGCGTGCGGTGATGTGCCTCTGGTCGATGGTCTCCCGTTAGCTCTCCTGTTGTTCAGTTCTGCGGTGAAATCTATTGTGGGTAGGCCCAGACGTTCCGCGAAGTCTGCGGCTTCTGTGATGTTGTGCAGGGTAAGTATGCGATTGTTCTGTCTGACTTGCAACTTGAAGGGATGTCCCCAGGTGTATCTGGTGAATTCCTGGGTGAGGGGTCTTCTTCTTTTGCATAGGGTGCTTGGGGCCAGGTCTTGATAGAAGAAGACTTGGTGTCCCTCTATTTGAAGCGGGGTGTCTCTGGCCGCTCGCATAAGTGCTTCCTTGATATGGAAGTAATGCATTCTGATGATATCCCTGGGCTGGGCAGCATTAGGGGCTCTAAGGGCCCTGTGGGCTCTGTCAAGTAGGAGCTCCACTGGTGAGGCCTCTGGGAGTAGGCCGCAGAATAATTCTCGTAGTGTTGAAGCCAGTGCGTCTATTCCAACCATCTCGGGAACGCCGCGAATTCTTATGTTATTACGGCGGGAGCGGTTATTGAGGTCTTCTTCGGCCTCTTCTAGCTGGTGTACCTGCTCTTGTAGGGCAGCTATTGCAGTCTCATTTTCCCGTGACCGCGTGGAAGTTTGGTCCAGGTGCTCTTCTATGGCGGTTGTTCTGCGCGTGAGGTCGCTGAGGCCTTCTGTAATAGGTGTTAGATGCCTTGTGAATTCGGCTGTCATGTTCAGCTTAATTTCTTGAAGTAGTTGTCTGAGGTCTTCCTTTGTGAGGGGCGTTGAGGAGGCTGTGCGGCTTCTATCGCTTGCCGCCGAGTCAGAGTCATAATCGCGGCCATCTTCCCCATGTGCTGGGAACCGTCCCTGCGGGTGCGGAATAGCGGCGCTACCTCCGTTCCTTGTTTAGATTTCTGTCCTCCTCCCATGTCAGGTTGGTTGAGCACCGTGGTGAGGGTATTGTGGACCGAGTGGGGATATTTTTATCGGGTATACTTGCTGATATTAGCTTGTTGTTCGCCTGCAGGTACGAAGCTCTAAAATAAAGCAGCCATCCACACCGGAAGTCAGGCGCCGCCCCCCCCCACACTACAATTTTATATTGGGTGTCTTCGATAACCTCTTAAATTATTTACCTTTCAACTTGGGTGCAGCAAAATATAATAACACTGCCACAACATAGTTAACTTGTTAAGATGAGAAAAACTTGCCTTCAGAGGAAAAGTGGGTTCACTAGAACAGTAACCCATGGCACTTTGGGCGCCTTTGCATGGTACACATGGCATGCAAAGCTGCCAGATTCAAATGAGCCAGTTGGAGACATATGAATATCGCAAAAGGAGCCTGCAATCTGCACTGGTAGTGGGTACAAGCACCACAGAGGCCTCTCCCTCACAATCTGGCAGTTCTCAGTGATTCACAGCATTGCTGTGGGTCCCCATGACAACTTTGTAGTGCCAGAAACACATTGGATTAGAGGCACCTGTGTGCAGACAACCTAAGTGATCTGTACCCATGAAGGGAATACAACAAACAGCTCACATACACAGAACACCAAAGTCAGCCTCCACCACACATTAAAAATAGTAAATCAATCCACATACACATGCTTAACATCACAGACATTACCTCACAAATTCATAGTGCAGATAGCACACATATGTACATAAAACAACAGGCAGCTCACATACACACTATATAACAAACCTTCCACATACATACACATATCTCCACAGACAACACCACATACATAAATACCACAAGCAACACACACATACATAACAGGAGCAGGCAGCCCATACTAACACACAATACAAAAAACAGCCCACACACAACTCCACAAACAGTCCACACACACAATGCCACCAATCCCTCTACACTCACACGCACCATACATTTGAGCAAAACCCTCTTAATATCTTGTCTGTGTCAACACCACCTTGCATGTCAACTGTTTTATATCCTCAATGTATTACTGTGGTCTGTAGAATATGTTGTCACTATATAAATAATATTATATACTTGCAAAACACCATGGATGTGACAGAACCATCTGTCTGTCTATTGTGGTGGATTCGTCTGTTTCTGCCCCCTTTCGTGTAAATGGCTGTTTCTATAGCCCAGCCATACGAATGACTGTTTTCACAAAACCGAACGGATGGCCACCCAGAAGAAGAAGTGTGCTGCTGGTTAACCTCTTGATCCCAATTAGAACGGTGTGGTTAACCGCAGACACTTCTCAATTAAACCGAATTCAGGGTGGCCGTCGTTCGTATGTCGACCACGAGGCAGTGGCCATTTTAAAATGCATGAAAGCCCAGTGGTGTTTGGCACTGATTCCATGGAACTAAAAATGGACACTTTTTCTGCCGAACACCGCTGAAACAACGGGTCGCCTGGCTGCCTCGACGAAAGCGTACGAACACCGGCCGTTCAGGAGTTTTGAAACACACGAAAGGACTTAACCCAGATAGCCTTCCCATGGAGTCAATCGCATACCAAAAGACTGTAAGAACTTTGACTCCATGGCGATTGAACTATGTGTGTGGGATCTGAGCGCTATTCGCTAATAATATGCACTCAGATCCAGGCTATCTGGGGATGTGTGATACGAATGGGAAATGTTCGGTTATTTTAAAGTTATGTATTTTTATGTGTTTTCTGGTATTGTATTTAAGATGGCGATTTGTCTTTGTCCTGGAGATAATTGACTTACTTCTCAATTATCTCCAGGGCAGAGGGGAGGAAACCATATTGCATTGTGGGAAAAGCTTGTGATTGTATGTCTGAAATGTCCCCATGTCCATCTGTAATTCCAGTCTCCCATTTGGTCCCCTAGGGGAGTGTCCACCAAGTGGGAGACCTGCATAAATACGGGCAGGTAGCCCACAGTAAAGCCAGATCCTTGAATTGAATTTATTATTGAGGGCATTGAAATTAACCTACAAAACAACTTCTTTTGGTTTGAGGGGGATTTTTATATTCAGAGGAGAGGTACCGCCATGGGGACCAAGTTCGCACCCAGTTATGCTAATCTTTTTATGGCATTTTGGGAAGAATCCTACATATATGCTGAACATGACTGGGTGGCGAACTTGGTCCTCTATAGGCGGTACATAGATGACATCTTTTTAATATGGAAGGGAAGTAAGACATCACTGGATAACTTTTTAATTTTTTTAAACTCTAATTCTTGGGGTATTAAGCTCACCTCGGAAATAAGCAATCAAGAAGTACACTTCCTAGATTTAAAGATCTTTATTGACAATGGAGTTGTTAAGACTAGTATTTTTTTTTAAAACTGTTGATGTCAATAGTTACATCAACAGTGAGAGTTGCCATTTTAAATCTTGGCTTTCAAACATCCCCAAAAGCCAATTCATGAGAATAAAAAGGAACTGAACGGAAGAAAAAACTTTTTTAGAACAAACTGATATGTTAAAAGAACAATTTTATCAGAAAGGATACAAAAAAGTTGATGTAGAGGCACAATTGGAGGAAGTTTTAACTAAACCCAGAAAAGACTTACTAACGTATAAAAAGAGAAAAGAATGCACACAAACGAAACAAGTGTCTTTTATCTGTGATTATAACTCACAGAGTCATATTTTTCACAAAGTTTAAAAAAAACATTGGTATATTCTTAAGCAAAATGAAGACCTTAGTGAATATATAGGAGAAAAGCCGAAAATAATTTATAGAGGCGCTAATAATTTTAAAGACATATTGACCAGGAGTTATATTCCTAAAAGACCCCTTAGAGATAATGATTTACAGGGAAAAAAATTACAAGGGTTTTTTAACTGTGGGAACTGTAGGGCGTGTAGTATGAGTAAAATCATAAATAAAAAAACTGAGAAATTTATTTCAAATAAAACACAAAAAGAATATACAGTTAAAGACTTTATAACATGTAACTCAAACAATGTTATTTATTTATTAACATGTATCTGTGGACTGCAGTACATAGGGCGTACCACTAGACCCCTAAAAGTCAGGATCTGTGAACATTTTAGGAATGTACAAAAGGGAGTTCTTAATCATTCAGTATCAGCACATGTCTGTCAAAAACATAATGGGGACACTAAATGCCTACATTTCCTGGGAATCCAAAAGGTTCAAAAACCATGGAGAGGGGTGGACCATCTCAAGATCCTGAATAGAACAGAAATGAAATGGATCTTTGAGCTGGAAACCCTCTCTCCATGTGGTTTAAACATTGATTTTGAAATGTATAATTATATCTAATTTTCTGCACACCTGGTGAATACACTTTTATTGGTTCCACCTCACTCTTTTATTATATTCTTTTATTATATATTTTACTATGTATCTATATATATAGATATAATTAGCTATTTGTGGCTATTATTAACTTTTGCCTCTTTTTATTTATTTCCCTGTTCTCCATGTACATGTTTTGTACACATATACATGAGCACTTATGTGCACATGTATATTATGCCATTATGTTTATGTGGACTTGAGGTTTAGCAGCCATATGAACTTGTTAAGGAATTTTTCCGCTGGGTAAACCGGACCGCAAGCGAAACCGGAAGTGCCCCCTGTGAGACGCATATTGGAACGCATGTGATATCGGAAGTAAAAGGAATGGAACGCATGAATCTGGAAATCACAGACTGTGAAGAGGAAATCATCTAGTCTCTGCTGATTGGTCCGATGGCAAAGAGGGCGGGTCCTAAATACCCGATTTTCCGCGCCAAAAGGCTTTTAAATGTATGAATTTTATGCAACAATGTGAACTGCACCTGAGGAAGACGAGATTGATCGTTGAAACGCGTTGTGCTGCTATTTATGCTGTCATTTTTTGCTGATTTTACAAGACCTCAATGTAAGGTTTTTATTTACTTATAATAAATGTGCTTTTTATACTCTTCTAATTTGATGTTTGCTTGTTCAACAATTTACATATTCTGAGGATCAAGCTACATCCCTGAGAGTGACTTCAAGATTTGATCTGAGACATCTTAAAGTTATACTACTTGAACCAGTTTCTATATGGGATCTGACAAAAATTTATGACCCTTAAAGATCTTAAAATACTGGGGTATTTATCTCTCTTTGTATTTTTATGCACTGATTATGTTTATACTCCTATAAGATTTGTGGGTTTGGTTTATGCGCTGCACACTTTTTCTGTTTTGTACACCGCTGTTTTTGTGGGATTATTGTGATTGTACCCACTAGTGTGTTCCAGCTGCTATTCATTTTTAGCGCCGTAAATTGTATTTTTTCTGTTTTATTAAAGCCAGATCCTGTTTGACCCTCAATGCGGAGCTTCTGTCTCGTTATTGGGGGGATTTCTTCTTTGCGTTTAGAGACTGCTGATTGGAACCGAAAGCCGCTTGGTGGATATCGTTGTTCGGCGGCTAGCAGCAGTTCGTGGATTTCCGTTCGGGAGTTTTGAGCCTTTCACGGATCCCGGTTGGAAGATTGCCGCTTCCCCTGGTTATGGTTTGTGGATTACAATTTATGCGAATGGATTACTGATATTGCGAAAGGGGAAGGTGAACTAAACGGCGGTTTCGTTTAAAGACACCCGGGGTGTCTTAACAATGGATATCTCACAAATATAGATAATGCACGCACACAATACAGCTCACACATAAACAACATTATTATACAATGAACATGCCCATCCATTGTAGGAGTCTACCAAAAGAACCCTGCATTTGAGCCATGAAAGTACTTTAAAACAATGAGCACTCTTATTTTATTTTTACAAAACAGATAAATTAGAAAATCCAATTTGAAAACAAAGCAGACTTAAAAAGTAAAAATGCTAATTCTGCACACATATACGTGTATAAATAATAATTTATCTTTTTGGTAAAGGCCATTAAAAAAAAATTCAAATGTGGAAATAAATTTTCAGCATTGAGTAAAAAAGAAGATTGGATTTTTAATG